CCGTAAAATGCATATAGTAACCATTGGCTATACGTATAAGCGTAGAAAAGATGCTTTGTTTCGTAATACTTTATTCGATAAAATAACATTTCATAATGCTTGTTTGGCCTTCACTTTGTTTCAAACTTTGTGTTTGGGCCCTCTCCTAAAAAGTTTTCCCATCACTGCTCTAAGTGATTGGCATTTTAGTAATTAAGATAGTTTTCGGTTATTTTCTTGATGAGAGTGATAATTCCTCTTTATCTTCCCAATTTAAACATACATTATGCAAGAGCTAAATCTGCCTATTGCAGGTTTTTCTTTTGGCCTGAAATGTTACCTAAATTGTTAATTAACTTATCCAGACCATAATCAACTCTCGAAGGCATCGTTAGCCTTTGATGTTTATTGGATTAGGTTCCGATGGATAATCGAGACTATGTTTTTTTTTATCCTACCGACTTAAGTAATGATGATCGAGGCTGAGCCGAAAATTCAGTTGCTAAATTCTCTGTTCATAGTGGATCAATTTGACTGAAATTCTCATCAAATTCCCTTTACAGTATCTAGTTTTTAACTATTATAGTGAGAACTGCTAGTTCTTTATCTAATCTCCCATATTTTCGTAAGGATGCCAATGTTTGCATATTATGCTGTGTATGGGTGTTTTGTAACTGGATCCAGTCTGGTTGCCAAGGAGAACAGGGGTGTTTTGGAGGGTATGCCCGGCCTATGTAGTTATTTGTTCTCACACAACAGGGTAGACTCGGTATGTTCATGTCATTTATAGTTTTGTAATAGTAATAATGCTTCAACATGCTTCCTCATTCTTGAGTGGTCAGGTCTTTTAGTGTCCAGTGTCTTTTTCAAGATAGCAAACATGATCTTATTTTACCTAAGATATACGTCAGAATCCACCAAATGGCATCGATTTTTCAAAATTTTCTTGGGGGTAAGTCTCCCTGACCCCCAGCTGGCGCGGTTCGCACTGAACTCTCACTATTTCTAAATTGGACAGGGCCTACCTTGTTTTTAATTTACGAAAATACCCCTGGAGGAGAATATAACCCCCTTTTACTAGCTTGTAACGAAAGTTAACTAAATTCGGTGACACGCTCTACTGTCAATGAGTCACGGTGGCTAGGTGGGTAGGGCGATGGCTCGCTAGCCTGGAGGTCGGATGTTCGATCCCTGCACATTGGTCGAGAAAGTTCATCCTGGATTTCCGGCGTGGTTTTCCCTTGTCAGTGGTGCAGGACGGAGATCTGACAAGGACAACAGCTGTCTAGTCGTTCCGATGGGACGAAAAATCGAGTTCCCGTGTATACATTGGCGTGCACGTAAAAGATCCCTTGGTATAAGAGTAGGGCATAGTGCCGCTGCCTCATAACACACTGTATGGCGTATGTTCGTCGTCATTTCATTTCTAGAGGGGGGGGGGGCTTTAACCTCCACCCGACACGAACTAGGTCATTTCGGGACTAACATTTTATTTCAATAATTCGCTTGAGGGTAGGGGTCATTAGCAGTAGGAGGAAACTGGAGGACACGGAGAAAACCCACGAGGTTGAACAGTCGGCCCTACTCCTTGGCACGTACAACCGGGGAATCGAAATCACGCCAGTTGACTCAATGACAGACCTTATGATACGATGCGCATGCGCCCCCCCCCCCCCAATTCAAAAATGAGTAAATTTGACAACTGAGTAGAGATCAAACTCTATATTAGATACCCAACCTATGGCTGAAGGGGACAGATCCATAATAAAAATACAGATCTGTTATAATAAAATATTATAATGATGATATTAATACACATTATCACCAAAAATACAGTCATTTCCTTTAATAACCTTAACAATGGTCTTCTCTACAACACTGACATTGACAGATTATAAAAGAGATACAAAGACAATTATAACCCAAAATATTAATAGTAAATTGTTTTCATAATTGAATTTTTCTTAATTATTAAATTGTTTTTAAGCTGGCCTAGATAATGTTAATTCTAAATTTCTTACTCTCGGTGCATCGATTTTATGTCCGCATTAAACTTTCATTTGCAATCTTTGTCTATCAAGCAATGAATTACCGCTCATTTTCAAGGAGTCCAAAGTGATACCTTACTTCAAATCCGGTTGTAAAAACGAGACAAATTACAGACCCATTTCGATCCTCCCTGTGCTATCAAAGCCCTTAGAAAAAAAAAACATCTTTATAAATACATGTATGATTTCCTCTCGGATACCAATCTTTTATTTAAATTTCAATCAGGTTTTCGCTCAAACTACTCATTCGATTTAGATCATCATAATATTCTTTTGAATAAGCTTGCTTTGTATAAATTTTCACCCAGTCATATGGCATCAATTTTATGGCATCTTATACTTACATGAAAGAAAGCAACGTATACTTGTGTTGGTCATTCATTATCCGTCTTAAAGTCAATCGAATATGGGATACCACAACGTTCAATCCTTGTGCCCTTTTTGTTTTCAATATTTATAAATAATATTTTCCTAACTCTAACATCAAACTCACACCTATTTGCAGATGACACTGTTTATACGTGTTATAAGGATATTAATGTTATTCAATGATATTAATGTTTTTCAGTCAAGACTTCAATCTGATACTGATAAAGTAATTCAATGTGCAAATAAAACTCTATGACCATAAATAGTTCTAAAACTAAAGCCATGTTAGTATGCACCTAACAAAAAATGTAAATATATGAACACACATTTTTGTCTGTTAATATTGATGTTACCCAAACTGAAGTTCTGAAAACTTTCAAATTACTTAGTGTTATATTAGATGATAATCTTCAATTCAATACAATAACAACGCGAAATTATTATAATATCTCTAAAACTATTAACTGCAGAAAACTTTTTCATCTTCGAAAGCTTGTAAAATTTCTCCCCATATCATTTTGCGCTCTATTTGAAAAAACACGCATCCAATGCTACATGTACTTAAATCTTTGCTCCCGTATTTGGGATAATTAAATTTTATTTTTTGATTTTAAGTGATTTCACTATACAACAAATGTTTGTGTAAAATGTCTTTATGTAATTAGGCAAGGGGTTGTAATTTTTGATAATTATATAGATTAACGTTTATACCGACTTTTTATCGAATATCAAATGTCAGGGGTTATTTTGGGTACACCCCATCGTGTACACGAGGGGACACAGCTTTTTTGTCCACACAAAATACTAAGTAAATGTTAGTGGGAACCAGACTTAAAAAATCCGAATATTCTTCTTAATCTAAGCCGGGAATAGAAACCAGCTTCCTTACGGCTGGAATGGTTTACAAAATAAAACAACAAAAACATTTGGGGCAAATGGGCTAAATGCAAAAATGTTTATATTACTATTCAAAAAAAGTAGGGGATATTTGATTTTTAAGTGTTATTAAAGTCACCTAATGAAACTGACGAAGAAACAAATGACAAAATGAAATGAAGTTCACATTCATCGATTTATTCCAAATGATCGTTAGACTAAGTAAGGCACAGACTGACCATTATAAGGGTAAAATGATACCCGGGGTCAAACAACAAAGTTACCACAGCATCACAACCAAGTCAGTAACGGGTAAATCCTCCTCTGTTTGCCAAACAAGCATTGATCCGACGTGGCATACTCCTAATGAGACGTCTAAGGTCATTTTGGTCCAGATTGTCCCATTCCTGTTGCAACGCAGCAGCAAGTTCTTGGACATTGGCAGGACGTTGTTGACGTTGACGTAACCTCTGTCCAAGCATGTCCCAGACATGCTCGATGGGGGAGAGGTCGGGACTCAGTGCTGGCCAAGGTAATGTGGTGATGTTCTGTTGTTGGAGGTAACCTGTAACGATCCTGGCCCTGTGACATCTTGCGTTGTCATCCTGGAAGATGAAACGGCGGCCATGACGTCGTGCGAACGGCACAACATGGACTGCCAAGATGTTGTCCCGGTAGTACTGGCCTGTAACACGCCCTGCAACAACATGTAAAGCCGTTCTTCCAGCAACAGTGATGCCTCCCCACACCATAACAGAACCACCCCCAAATCGATCATGTCTGATGACGTTAACGTCTTGGAAGCGCTCGTTTCGACGACGCCACACCCTCCTACGTCTGTCCAAAAAATCAACAGTGAACCTTGACTCATCTGAAAACATCACATTGCTCCAGCGTCGATTATCCCAGTGTTGACGATCCCTACACCAACGACGTCTTGCCTGAATGTGATGATCTCTCAAACAAGGGATCACGCGAGGACGTCGGGCGCGAAGGTGACCCCTATGCAGTCGATTCCGAATCGTCTGGCCACTCACTCTCACACCAGTGTCTGTTTGAAGACGAGCGCTGATCTGATTTGCTGTGATGACACGATTTCTCAAGGCCAAGGTACGGATAAATCGATCCTGGGCTTGAGTTGTCGCCCTTGGTCGACCTGAGCGTGGTCTGTCCTGTACAGATTGTGTATCACGGTATCTGGACCATGGCCTGCTTATGACAGACTGAGAAACATTCATCGTCCGCGCCACAACCGCCTGTGTTGTGCCGATCTGTAGCATGCCAAGGGCACGTAACCTTTCATTTTGGGTAAGCCGACGCATATCAAAATTTGTTTTCTGGTCACTAAAACAATTAAACTGATGTTTCCACCCTGGAATTCAATGCCACAATGACTGTAACATTCAAAGTCAGAGTCGTGCAAATCTTGGGTTGGACCCCCATGATGATCCCAAGCATCACCTGCATCCATGCGGTAGCTATTGGTGCGTTTGGGCGTCACATGTAACTGGAAATGTTTCTTCTGTTAGGTTCTATAGTGACTTTTTTCGTAGTCATTTGCATATTTTAGTATTATGCCCCCCAAAATCAAATATCCCCTACTTTTTTTGAATAGTATATATACAGATGAAAATATACCCTGCGACATCCAAATTTGTAAAACCCACTGTATAGCGCGATTCGCTTCAATATATTGACAATGTTACGAAATCTTTATTTTGTTTTCAGATTCGACCTAAACTGTTAAAGAGTGTACACAAGAGTGATGATCGTTTAAGATATTTGTTAGAAGAGCGAAAAACTGCATCAGAACATGATAGGTCGAAAAGAGGCATCGAACCACAAGGTAATGGGCACATGTTGAGGTCTGGTGCTAACCCCGTACCAACGGGTGTCGAAGAGGAATATTTTACTACGTATGAACCCCACTCTGTTACTACGAGTCTGTCGGACGTTACACAACAAACCGAATCACACCCACAGTCTGATCCGTATATATACCAATTTGAACCACTGAACGAATACCCGCCGGTTGATCAACATAGGGCAACATATGACAGACGGGAACCCTTGATACATTCAGATACATATAACCGTCATGGACATACTGTACGGACAGAGTCACAGCACACAGTAACGCAGCAGACACAAAGCACTACAATTTCCAGGAACTCGGAATCACGTCATGTTGTCATGCGTCATCCTATCGATCCGACCAGTATTCTTGATATGTTATCTCGCGAATCACGCATAAATCGTACTGCGGCAATTAACAGTTTTCTGGCAAAAGAAGAACTGAAGAAGGCTTCCCACAGTATAGACAACGACATTCTATCAGCGTATGGAGGGTATAATTGTAAGTACTAATTTTGTCATATCATTGTAGATTGGTGGTTCAGTCCCATCATAAACGTACTTGTTTATCCGTTTAATGTAATTGTAGATTCTTTGTTCAGTCCAATCATATACGTACTTGTATCCTTTAAAAGTTATTGTAGGGTGGTTGTCCCGTCCCATCATATACGTACTTGTGTATCCCTTTAATGTTATTGAAGGTTGGTGGTCTAGAACCATTATGTATGTGTTTATTTATCCACGATTAACTAAAATCAATTTGAAACGCCTTGCTCGAATTTTCGGTCGTCCGAATAACATTCCAACATCCCCATGCTCCCGCCGTCGACATGTATGTCATTGACGATTACCTAATTAACACTGTAAGCAATTTCAAATCACCACATGTTGGGAGTGTAACTGAAACCAGATGAAAACAAATAATGCATTAGAATTCTCATCTAGTTTTATTTATTTTAGATTGTATTAATATTTTCAGCGTACTCTAAAATTAAAGAAAGTAGTACTGGTCACATCATGGCATCATTAGATATGTGGCTCACGAAAGAACAAGTCAACTTATTTGGTAAAAGGTAAGCAAGCTCTTGTATCGATATTATTTAGGGTCTTTGGGGTTCTGCTAAACAAAGGGATTGGGTAGGCGAGTGGTCTGGCATTGAGTCAAGTGTCGTGGTTTCGATTCCAGATTTATGTGTGTCAAAGAGTAAGACTGCATATCGTGTCAAGGAATGGGTTTCAGATAGGTTATTTGCCACATACATGTATATTGATAATCTCTTGTTCAAACATGAGCTTAATGGACTTTAAAAATGCCCAGTCCAAATTGTCACTGCTACAACTACAATTGATAGTCGTTGTCGTAAAAGAATGAAATGAAATGAAATGAGATGAGGTTTAATACCTACTATTCTGCTCCGACTGGGCTAATAAAGACGGGCATACGCCATACAGTGTGCTATGAGGGAAATATTATCCGGACAGCGGCGCTACTGCCTTCTCTTATATCGAATTCCAACTGCCAAGGGATCTTTTAGGTGTGTCTTCCTTCCCATCCGAACGATTGGACAGCTGTCCTCCGTCCTGCACGACTAGCAAGGGGGGACCACGCCGGACAATCCCGATGAACTTTTGCCGTAGAACCTGGGATTAGAGTTGTCGATAAGACAAGCGCAGATGTCTTTACGTTTTCCGCATGACACCTGTGACTGCGAAAACTGAATATACTTATATACCGCTCAGACGCCTATTTTAAACCAGTTCAAAATCGCCGGGGTTTTAAGACAGGGTCGTGTTGCGTTCATACATATTATAAGCCTAACCAGTTTAACTATGCTGACCTTTTCGTTCGGAGGTTAGTGTTAAAGGAGCTAAATCGCTTACATTTGGGACCAAGAAATTGCCACAAGTGGGTCGGAACTCATATAATACTGTAATATGAATGTATATAAACTGATATACATTCAATGGTTTCCGTTTTTACTCTAATTTCAAATCAGTTATGTTCCGCGAAATAAGCCAGCAGTCTCAATCGAATGCAAATTTCTAGCGCCTTGTTATTCCAGTCTACATGCGCCGTTTGGTTTGGTGCAATATGTCTAGCCTCGAGTCTCTTGCTAGAACTGGGGCTGAAACGCATTATGGTACACGATTCGTGTACCAATGGTAAAATGTTCATTTTGTCTTAAATATTGGATATCAGAAGCCCATCTTTTTCCGGTAAGATCACAGCATCAATGTTGATTTAAATTGACAAATAATTTGTGTTTTCAATGTTGAAGATTTTGGATGACATTGAGTTAGAGACTTAGCTACTTTAACTACGCATGGGTAGCTTTATATTCTTTATTCTGTTTTCGCACACTTTGGATAACACTGGCTCTGCATGACACCGCCATTTTCCCAGGGAATGTAACTTACCGCGTACTGCGCATGTCCAAATTGAGCTTGAACCAGTTTAAAATAAAAAGCCTTCTCGAAGACAGGTCACGAGCTGGGGTTTTTAAATTGGTTTATTTGCCCCACATTTGCGTTCCGATGACAAAGTCAAACTGGTTTAACGATCCTCGTTTTTTTTTTAAAACCATTTCAACTTCAGCGTCTGAACGAGCTATTTTAGAAAAAGCGGGGCTGGATGACCGAATGGTTAGCACGTGCGCGCTGTATCATAAGGTCTGTCATTGAGTCAACGGGCGTAGTTTCGATTCCCCGGCTGTACGTGACAAGGAGTAGGGTCGCATGCCCAACCTTGTGGGTTTTCTCCGGGTTCCCCGGTTTCCTCCTACTGTTAAAGACCCCTACGCGCAAGCGAATTATTGAAATAAAATTGAACCATATGTTAGTCCCGAAATGACTTAGTTTGTGTCGAGTGGACGTTAAACCTCATTTCTCTCTATATATTAGACAAAATGTAGCACCATAGGTCTTTTGTCTGACGTGGAGAGCGTCTATGGGAAACCGGTCGCCACATCCTACGTATGACCCATGCATCTTTTCTTACTACATATTTCTGTAGCCTTGTGATCGTCTAGGATTTGTCTCTAGCTGTCTTTACTTCTGCTTCACGTTGTGTATTTACTTCTTCCAGTTTCTTAAGACGTTTGTCTTACCAGGAATAATAATGCATAGTTCGCTTCTACATTTTATATATAGCATATAACTGAATACAGGTATACAAGCATAGCACAAATTACAATACTATATAGCTAAAACCACTTCTCTACCCTATCCAGCCTCTCGGCTGTCTAGGAACTCAGATGTACCCTCGATCTCTGGAATCTAATGCAAGTCTGACTTACAGGGTTCCCCGGTTTCTTTTAAAGGTAAATGAATATCATGCACAATAACGCGTGATCATGGCCCTGAACTTGTGTAATTAACAAAATGATTGGTTACTTTAAATCAAATGATGCATTTAGAATGATTCCACTCACGTGTAATTCTGGTGGTAAATAATTGACATATGTTTTCGATAAAGAGCTCTTTTTTATATGTCAACTGTCAATTACAGACTAAGTTGATTTAGTGCACACTATATATGTGAATATGTTTGAAATTACTAACTTGCCAAAGATATTAATTAATGAAATATAAAGGCATTTTATTTCAAGAGCAAAAATTCTAGCAATATTATTACAAAAATTCGAAGTCCTAAAAACGGTATCGGGTGGTTATGTTATGATTTAATATTTTCTTTGTTCTGTTATAATATAGTGGTGGGCGAGTAAAGAGAAAATCTATTAGACCAAAGGAATATAGATGGACAAATGCTATAATACCATACACCATTGAATCTTCATTCCGTAAGTTAAGCTTGTTACTTATTCATTTTATAAACTGATATGTTATAATATCCGTAAAAAAGATTTTTAAAAGGCATTTTACGTTCATCAAGAAAATTTGTTTAACATACTTAGTTACAGCACGAGCTTACTGAGAGTACAGGTACCTTTATAATAATGATTGAAAATTAAAGTAATCAACCACTGATTATCTCCAATGCCGGTGCACTTATTGCGATATTTAAATGGTTACCATTTCCCCAACGTTTTTCTTAAAAGAAACCAAGTCTATTATTTAACACCTCCATAACACACAAATTTAACGTGTACATTTTATATAAATATAGGTATTTCGGATCTCAAGTTAATTAAAGAATCTATGCGAGTTTGGGAGGCAGCTACTTGTATTAGATTCCGCCAGGCTGTTGATACAGATAAAAATGTTGTTACAATAATCAATGGACCCGGGTAAGTTCAATCTGGGGGGTTTCGTTGCAACTTATGGTATATCAATGTATGTTTTTAAAAACCAAACAAAGCCGCATGAATAACATCCATTAGTCCAGTCAATCTACGTTAAATTTAGGGCAACCTAGAACAAATTGCAACAGACGGTTTCTTGGTACCGCTGTGTTCATGGGATCACTCTTTACAACATATCCAAAAGTCTGGGGCAGGGAAAGGGCCTAATTTGCATAAATTCAAAATGGACAACAATTGTACCCTTTGAGCCTCACAACTCCTTTAATATTGAGTTTTCAACTTATGAAATTATTAGTTAGAAACATGACCCTTGCGAGTCAGAATATCATAAATCAACCCCATGACGTCATCACGTCTTTTTTTAAAATTAAATGATGATGACAACATACAATTTTTAAAAACTAACCCAGCTCCCAGAAAGTAGTTAACTGACAGAAATTGAAATGTAAATAACCACTTGAGTATTGAATTACATTTCAGTCCTGAATTGTTCCATTTTTTGTAAAGTCTAAGTAGTTTATCACATATCCCAAATACGGTTTATCTTATTCAAGTTCGAACTCTTTTTGCTCCTGCACAACACGTTTCTGCACCTGATGGTACACACGGAAACCAATCTGGACTCAGGACAAGCTTTTCATTACCTTTCAACACAACAGGGCCCCTTCTCCCGCAATATAATTCCATCATTTGTAGATTGTTTGAGGACAAATATTTCAGCGTGTTTGTGGAAGTTCTAATCCTCTTAAAACTTTTTGTAAGCGAAACCTTTTCCAATTCCAAACAACCTGGATGTTGTGTCACACAATGCCAGTTAAAGTATTCACCAACGGAAGGTTTCGTGAGATATCCTCGCCCAAGCGTTCTCGTTCTCTGTTGATGTTCAAACAACAAACTTTGGACTTATTATAAAGTTGTGTATGTTGTCAACCTAAGAAACCAAGTCCGATTCCTTTCTAAGCACTGTGCATATTGGCACCCCCACTCGCCTTCATTGTTTTCACATTTTTGTCTTCAAATTGTTTACACCAAAAAATCAATAAAGTTCTGCTTATTGTCAGAGTTTAATACCCTTTCTTTTGTGCATGCTATATCGCGATGTGTTACAGCGTCCAGATTGTTTGGAACTGGAAAAAGTGTCCCTTTCAAAAAGATTCAAATTTCAAACTGTGTGTGTTATTGTGCACGAGAAAGCTTATACCCCCGTTAGACCTGGGTGGCGTTCTTACTGCGCTGCTACGGCGATGGAAAATGGTCCCAGAGCACGTCAACATCGCCATAAGCGTGGTAAAAGCATGGGGGAAACGCTGGATATAGTGCTGTGGTTTCTATGGTCGTCAACGATCGTCGAGTCACGGCGTTGTGTTCACGTTTGTCGGCGACCTTGTGTATTTTCTGGTGGTCGTACGGTCGCAGCAGCGCAGTAAGGACGCCACCTCGGTCTGGCGGGGGCATAAGGGAAAATGTAGTGAACAGTTTGCCCTGTGTCCAGATTCAGAGCTTGCAGCCGACTCCAGATGTTGCAAAGTATCATGGTTTTCCTGTGTAGGCCTACTACCAGGTACAGTTGTGGATCGGGATGGACGGTCAATCAAGCCCAGAAAAGAATTTGAAAAAGATAAACAGATAAATACTATTTGGGAAATGTGATAGACTACTAAGACATTAGAAGAAATGGGACAATTCAGGACTGCACTGTAATTTAATGCTCGTGTGATTATTTACATTTAAATTTCTGCCAGTTATCTTCTTCCAAGGGGCTCAGTCATCATGTAACGTCAAAATAAGACGTTATGACGTCATGGGGTTGATTTATGACTTCAAGGGTCACGTTTCTATCAAAGACGCGACATTAAAGGAGTTATAAGACTCCAAATTAAATGTACTTTTAACGGCCATTTTGAATTTATGCAAATTAGGCCCTTTCCCCGCCCCGAAAATCAGAGAATTTTGGATATGTTGTAGAGGGTGGCTGCACGACCACAGCGGTACCAAGAAACTTTCTGTTGCAACCTGTTTTAGGTCAACGTTTAATTTGACTGGACTACATGTCAGTAATTCAATCCCTAATTTAATTGATCCCCACAAAACAACTGGTTAATCGTAATAACAGAATATAAACTTGCTACCCATCGGAAAGGAAAATATGAACGTATTTAAATTAACGTTGTTTATTAACAGCTGTAGTTCACATGTTGGTATGATTGGTGGCAAGCAAGATTTAACACTGCATATAAACTGCCGAAAGGTATGTCCAGAGATATTTTTCAATTTGAAAAGGTAATAGTATAAGATAAGACAAATTATTGAAGCAATGGCCCGAGAAATCCCCCTCTAGCCATTGCTTGCCTTGTAATAAAATCTCAATGTTTGTTAGTATGCCTACTAATGCAACTTAAATTGTGCCGTCGCTGAAGTTCACTATTGGAACGAAAATTCTTTGACTCAAATTTCCCATATAAATTCTGTAAACGTGCCTGTTTGTACCATCATTAATTACTAAACACGTACCTTTGTTATGTATTCAATACTATTTATCCATTTTTGTGAAGAAAATCCATGAAATATTATTATTCCAAAGAAGCACATGTCACAAAAGCGATCGAATATCATATTTCTACCCAGTTTGTTGAAACACAATAGGCTACGTAATATGACAGCCTGTCTCTTTGTAATCTGATTTTTTTTATTTCAGAAAGCTATAGTTGTTCATGAGTTGGGTCATGCTATAGGAATGATACACGAACATCAGCGACCGGACAGAGCAGAATTTGTTTCTTTAAATAAACAGAACGCTATGCCCGGCACAGAAGCAGATTTTCAAATGTATTCGTGGGATGTTATTGATAGCATTGGTATAAAATACGACTATAGATCTATAATGCATTATGGAGGCACGGTACGTTAAATTACACAATAAATTTATGTTCAATACGTGTATACAAATCCTTATACCGAAACACAAGTTGGCTGTTATTATATAACGCATTACTATATAATCCTGGTTACAGCACCAAATCTTATGTAATACGTTTATACACAACACTCATGTTATCTAAAAAGGGTTGCCGAAATAGCAAATACTCATAGTTGGTGTCTTTTTGGAGATTTAAATTATTTCATACGCGATTTAATCATATCAAATCAAATCAAAATGTTTCTAAATTCTTATTTTTTTAAAAAAAAAACTGCCTTTCATACACACCACATTATTACTTTCAGGCCTTTGCAAAGGATAACGGTGTAACTATAAAGACACGTGATCCCAGATATCAGGATATAATTGGTAAAGCTACAACCATATCACAAGCTGATATTGAGACTGTCTCCGGGATGTATGAATGTCCAGCTCGAAGTAAGTGTCTAAGATGACAACAATTAAGAACAAAACAGGGTACTGCTTCAAAAATCTGTCCACTTGGAAGACAATTTTTGAAAATACATATTTCTAAACATACATACTAAGTCGCCGGAACACAAGGTTTTTAGTATTCCACTGACAATTAGGAAGGGTTATAAAAGATCACAGAAGTTAAGTTCATCGTAGAAATATAGAAGAATATGGATATACATGTACCACAATATTATGATAATACACAGGATACACTAACATTATTATAAATACGATTCTACTATACTACCTGTAGCTTTTTCGCTATACAAAATTTGAAAACATACAATTTCCACTTCGGTATGTTTTGAAATCTTGTGCAGAGAAAGGGTTGTGTTTTATATTAATGGATAATGCCGTATATCATATTATAAAGAATTCAGAGTTAAGATCTAGTAACATACGACACGTGCTCGTTGTTTTTTTTTAACTCCAGGAAACAGGGTGCCCGCTCAAGAATGGACATGGTTGAACGGCCTATTGCCGTCAAACTTTGAAGGTCAATCGATAACAAGAGAACGTAAACCACCAATAAGGGATGTTAATCCACGGGGCAGAATTGTGCAGCCATCGCGTACAATAAGTCGTCAGCAACCAGCACCGATTAGGCGTCGTGTCAGACCAACACCTACTTTCAATAGAAATCAACAAAATTTTAGACCTACAAATCAACGTAACGGAAACAGAAACGATCCGTGGATGAATGATTTTTTCAGAGGAAATAGGTTTAGTAATAATGGATTTGGTAATAGACCATTCGTTAATAACAGGAATGGGAACAATCAATTTGGCAATTCGTTCTTTGGTTCAATGTTCCAACAAGATCCCGCAAGTGCTGCAATATAAGGCACTAACTGGTTTATGGATATAAATATGCATCCCTTAACAGTTTATTATACAGGATTATTGAAACAAATATTATTTTTTTTTATGAAATTTTGTATATTTCATTAAGTTAACAACTTTAGAAATTCCCAAATGTGTAAAAGCTCTACCTCTACCTGAAAAGATATATAAGCAAGCTGTCTAAACTTGACGGACCAAATTTGTACCTTTAACACAAGGATGTCCATTTAAAGTTAATCAGTAGTAAATGGCATTGTTTACTTTTACTAGGATTATGTTGGGCATTTTATGAGAATATGGATACTCCATGTCATTAAAATTTGTTACATATTATTCTGCAACACAGTTTGGTGTTATTTTAGCTAAATGCAACAAATATTATTTATTTTAATGTTACCTAGGCTTCTTGAGAAAAAAAATGGTTTAGTGCAACTACTTTACAAATGTAATACTACTTGATTCAGTGTTGATGCAAATACATGTATGTCATTTCAGTATCCATTCCTGTAAATGCAATTTTGGTAAATCTAATTACAGTTTTATTTCTATGTAAACGTTTAACATTTGTTATCGCAAATAAATTATTTTTTAATGCCATTTTATGTAAACAGTCTATTATATTCTGTCTGGGAAACAGTCGTATAGATTATTGAATCTTCACATTTCTTTTAGTACAGATGACAATATTTACTTGATGTGTAAAACGAACACGGTCCTTGATCAATTTTATTGTTCTGGTAGGAAATTACCTTGTCCGCTACCATTAAACATACATTATGCAAGAGCTAAATCTACCTATTCCAGGTCTTTCTTTAGGCCTGAAATGTTATATAAACTATTAATTAGACATTTGTTAACAAAACAAGACCATAATCGACTCTCGATGGCATCGGGTACTCGAGATTTTAACTAGATTAGAACGATTTGCCATTTAAAAATTTAATTTAAAAATGGGAAAGAAAGGCTAAGTCGAGAATATACCAGTGCCCTGGTTATCACTTTGCACACATCTACAAACTACAAACAGTGATAATGTGGCTCAGAATGAAGTAATTTGAATGAAATTTTCAATATTTTCATTTTACATTATATGTTTTTGAACTATTATAGCAAGAATGGTCGGCTCTTTATCTAAATCTTACATAATGTATCGTTAAGTACACTTGTTCCTTTGTTGAATTCCCGTTATATGTCACTGGTTTCTCTTTTATGCAATTCAAATAAAGATTCATGTAACCATTTTCGTTTAATTCGTTTATTATTTTTAATTTGTAGATGTTGGAAACTATTAATTAGTGATATTATAAATATAACAAGTAAAAAATATTTTTTGGCGACTGCATTGTAATAACCATGCAGAAACTGTGCTATTAAGTCATTAGACACAAGGTTCGATCAGGTAAGTGACCGTGTACAAATAATACGGGAAAGAATGTTTTTTGGCAAAATATAGCAATTTTTTAAAACTTTATATTGCCTTTGCTCCAAACACTAATCCTTCCAGGGGATTTTTGAACAAAATATTTAATATTAGTATTGTTCTAAAGGTTCTTACTGTCCACTGATAGGAATTTGAATATTACGAAGTCGCATGCATGCAAATGCTTGCTGAGTTAAATGTGCAAGCACTTTTTTACGACTTGAAAATAGCATCATCTTCAAATAGCTACACCCCATTTAAGTCGTACGCACGGCATCGAAAAGGGATGAATTTCCTATTTCCGCAATGGTTATGTGTGTCTTTATTTGTACGCTGAGGGGCAAGGATGAATTTCTGATTTCCGGTATGTTTATGTAGGTCTTTATTTGTGCGGTGAGGGACAAGGAGATAGCCCACAAACATTGCCCCAATGCATTATGAGCACTAGATTTGGGTCATGTAGAACACATTTCAAATTCATATTGTCTCAACTTCCCAAAACAAGAGCACAGGCATCCTCAAAGTATTGTTTAAGTGCAGATTTCTTTAGAAAACACTTTAATGGGGTATTTTTTTTAGACAAATTTATTGATAGCGGCGCGTTGTTTTGCTTTTCTTACAGCCGAAATCCCAGGTTTATTATGTTTTTTAATTGATATTTAAAAATGGTGTTGAAGGTATATTTAATGATTTTATTATTTTTACTACAACGTCCAGTGGAGTGTTAGTCGGAGATGATCAGTCGAGTCTACAGCATGTCCTTGGCGATATACTACTGGACAGCTGGATTTTTATTAATTAAATATGCCGCTGCTTCGTTCGTAAAAATTAAGACTGTTTTTTCTGTTATAAACTTTTTCTTTGTGGGATGCTTTAAAATGGAGAAATAAAAAATGGATTAGTTTCAAGCAATATTTGCTCAGAAAGTATTCTATAATGTTTTTGGTTGCATAAATATTTCTAACCCTAGGCCGATTGAGGAGGTAATAATATTGGAACGTGGTGTTTGAGATAGACGTTAAAATGCCTAGCAAAATAGTTTGTATTACAATACCATTAAATGGAAATTATAATTTATCAGTCCATGCATGACTTCACAAATCATCTTTTTTTTTCACTAAGGAGCAAGACTCAATCACAAACAAAGATACGAAATAAACTTACCGATGCCAATCAATAATTTTCATATACCAGAATGATTTCCTTTCAAAAAATATATATATTTAAAGATACATTATGGGAGATTAGATAAAGAGTTGGCAGTTCTCACTATATAAGTTAAAAACTATATGTAAGGGCAATTTGTTGAAAATTTCAGTCAAATTGATCTAGCATGAATCGAGAATTAAGCGATTGAAATTTCGGCCTAACCTCCTCGATCGTCATTGCTAAAGTCGGTACGATAAAAAAAACAACATAGTCTCGATTAGCCCTTTCATGATTAAATTATGAGTGAAAGTTGAGCAGCAAATGGGTTCATAATCCAGTAAATATCGCAGGGTAGCGATGACATCGAGAGTTGATTATGGTCTGGATAAGTTAATTAATGTCTAATTAATTAATTTAGATAATATTTCAGGCCTAAAGCAAGATCTGTAATAGGCAGATTTAGTTCTTGCATAATGTATGTTTATACAAAAAATCTACTTGCACGATGAACTGTGTGCAGCCATGTTGAATCAATCAATTTTGTGTACTTGGGTATTTAGACGGGTGTTCGCGAACCACCAAACGACATGTATATAGTGCTAATTCACATTTTATCGACTGATCAATTATTAGAAGGATTAATTTAAACATTTCAATTATCCATAATTTTGTCAAAAATGTTTATGAAATACTTTTGGATATGATGTGTAGAATATATTTTATTGATTACTTTGTGTACTGTTGACAAAACACCGCTCCTGCCAGTAATAGGACCGGAAATCACTGGACGTAAGTGTCACTATTCACAGATTTTTTTTAAAAAAACGCTTAGGCAGATTTATTGTCCTTAATCGTTTTAAATATCAATCTCCAAGAAAAATTTCAGTCAGCATACAGAAAACGGCACAGTACGGAATCCGCCTTACTTCGTGTTCACAATGATATCGTATGTAGCTTGGATCGGAAGAAACCGGTGTCGCTAGTTTTATTGGACTTGATTGCAGCATTCGATACGATAGATCAATCAATCCTACTTGGGATACTTTAAACTCGATAGGGTATATCTGGAGACGCACTGAGGTGGTTTGAGTCCAGCCTGAGTGGAAGACAGCAGAGTATTGTTATTGACGCATCTCAATCAATGCCTAAAGTTCTTGATTTTGCCGGGTGTTCGATCCCTGCATTGGCCGAGAAAGTTCATCCAGATTTTCCGACGGGGTTTCCCCTTGTCAGTGGTGCAGAACAGGGGGGGGGGGGGCTGACAAGGACAGCTGTCTAGTCCTTCGGATGAGACGAAAAACCGAGGTCCCGTGTATATATTGGAATGCACGTAAAAGATCCCCTGGTAGTTGGAATTCGATATGAAAGTAGGCGATAATGCCGCTGCCCTGGCAAAATTTCCCTCATAGCACACTGTATGGCGTGTGCCCGTATTCATTAGCCCAGCATAGGAGCATAACTGTAGGACGTTAAACCCCATTTCATTTCATTTCATTTCATTTCTTGGTTTTGGTGTTCCCCAGGGATCTGTGTTGGGGCCGGTTTTGTTCACAGCATATACCGCACCAATTGGAGATATCATCCGTGAGATGGGTCTTAATTACCACCTATATGCGGATGATACCCATTTATATGTTGAACTTGATCCTTCACCAGATACCACTACATCAGAACTTGAAGCATGCATTGAACAAAATATTAGAATCTGGATGCACTGCAACTTTCGTAATGACTGAACAGCTCAGTGGCATCCAAAGTTGTCTTAATATGTTCCTTGTCCTCAAAAACCTGGGGATAGACATCAAGATCATCAAATTTGAGTCAATAGTTATGGACTTGTGGTCATTTGGAGGTGTTGTTGGCGGCCATTTTGGACATAATAGGCCAACATCATTTTTAATGATCTTAATGAGTTCTTTGCCACCCAAAACCTAAGAATAGACCCCAAGATCATCAAATTTGAGTTGATAGTTACATAATTATGATCATTAAAGGACAATATTGGTGCCAGTCATTATCACATATGTGTTAGAGCTGGTTAAACACATTCCAAATATATTTTTAACACAGAGATCATTGCTACGATAGCTGAGTAATACAGGTTTCCCGTATCGGAAGTGACGAACGCCAAAGGAAAACACGAGTCGCTGCACTATATAACTGACTGAAGCGACGAGTGATAACAGATACACGGCCGAATTTCTACTCACTAATAATTTTGGTCTTCGAAGGAATTATTAGTGAGCAGAAATTCGGCCGTGTATATGTTATCACTCGTCGCTTCAGTCAGTTTTATAGAGCGGTGACTCGTGTTTTCCTTTGGCGTTCGTCACTTCCGATACGGGAAACCTGTATTACTCAGCTATCGTAGCAATGATCTCTGTGTTAAAAGTATATTTGGAATGTGTTTAACCAGCTCTAACACATATGTGATAATGACTGGCACCAATATTGTCCTTTAAGACGTTTCGGTGGCCATCTTTGACGCCATCTTGAAAAAAAAAAAACCACTTTTGCGGGGGTCCTACTTTGGTAAACTTTTAGTATGTTATAAAGTACACTAAACCCTGCCAGAATCAGTTGAGAAAGCTTTTGTAGCAATTTTTGGGGGGTTAAACTTTATTTTGACCTGACTATAATCCATCTAGCAAATTTAACATAATGTTACATAATCACAGATTATCTGATGTTATATACGCTTCCTGCCAACTTGACACCTGTTCGCTATCGACATCCCTGGAGTTCTTGGTCTATGTGATTATGTAACCTTACCTTGATGGCATGTCTTATTTAAACTTTTTTTGATGATAAGCAAATGTTAAACCTGATATGATACATGATACATCAGCCAGATGTCTAATAAGATTCCTTTGTCTGGAATGGTTTATAAACCCAGATTAACAAACGATTCGAGAGAGAGAGGTCCGGACAGGACACGAGAGCGGGGGCTATTGGAGCAGACGAGACGGAACGAGGGAGAGCGCACGAGAGTTGGCACATTTATACCAAGCTAGGATATGGCTCCCTCAATACAAGTTAGTTATGGAGTCCTTAAGTTTTGTATATAATATGTTAGAAGCAGAATAAAAGTATGATATGAAGTTAAACTAGTCTTGTCATCCGAACCTGATTAAAGAACCAATACTGTCACAATAAGCATAGACTGAAAAAACCTAACAACAACACATTATCTGTCATAACCCAAAGTCAAGATGATCAAATTGTAAAAAAAACTAAATGGCACTAAATGGTACCAAAATTTTTAAAATTTATCGACGGAGAAGGCCCTGAACAATTTCGCCCCTTTGGTCATTCAGTGTCAAAATGATCAAATTTCAGAAAAAAATACATAAACTCATCCAACCATTCAACTAAAATTTTAAAACTTTGATGGAGCACGCCCCCGAACCATCAAACAATCTTTTCCTTCGGCCATTCAATGTCAAGCACGTCCTTAAGAAAATTCCTACTCCCGACAAGAAGGAACAAGCTGGACCAATTTTATGCCTGAAAGGAGCATTGTATTATCCTGCCATATTCAGGTCGCAAAATCTAGAGAAAAGAGCCCCTGGTGATATAGTTGTTATACAATGATTTGAAAATATTTATACATTATAAGTTAATACTCGTTTTT